CTACCAAACCACCAGCACCCAGTTACAAACCGCAGTCAACCGCGGTATAGCATTTGACAGACCAAAGCGCCTACCAAAGTTGTTGTGACGGCATCATTCTCCTATCCGAAATTGATTGATACCTGTTTGACAGACCAAGCTGGTGTACCCAATGAACCAGACCAAGGCGAAATCGCCTCGGTTTGGGTAAGTTTAACCTCCGGTGAACTTAACCAGATGTCACAAAAGTTTGGTGGAATGGTACTCTCATGGTAACCTTAGAGGGTATTAGACTATCCAAGATGCTGTCAAACTTAAATTAAAATGTCCGCCAAGAGGCACACAAACTCTTTGTTTGCTTGTCAAAGTCACGTGATTTGGATAGGCTAATAAGTTACCTTAACCTTGAGGTTAACTGCAGATTGTGACAATGAGCCTTGCGTTCCTTCTAATACATGCAGGGTATAAATGAGACACACTTGTAACGAATTTTGATGGGCGGGAAATTTAAATTTCAATAATAAGCTAAAAACTGGCATATGGCCCAGTCACCCCGCTGTTCCAGTTAACCAAGTCGACCTTATAGCAATATGCTGGCAAACCATTTGCAACATAAAAAGGCAATATGTAAACATTATTGCTGAGATGAAAGACAATATATAATCAACGCAAATACTATATCACTGAAAGCTGACTGTCGCGTGATTTTCTTCTAACCAATATTTTTTATTTGTTGGAGATTTCCCAACGCAGCCAGTCAAGCACAGGCTAGTACAAGAGATTGAATAAAACCTCTCACTTGAAGATTTAAGATTTTCCAAATATCTTCCCTTCAAACTGCGGTTGGGGATTATATATCGCAAACGAATAGTTACATTTCTCTAATGCCAAACTTTGGAGCAGCGATCCGTACAGACCGTACAGTACTGCGAACATCACAAGCAGTTTGTACATTGCAGGATTTACATGTCGATCTTGATAATTCTCGCGAATTATCTATGAAGGAATCAGAACCAGACCTCGCATGAATAACCAATTCTACTCCTGTACTTGTTCAACTAGACAAATTCTGGTCTTTGACAAATAAGATGAACTTAGAAATTAGAGCTCGACAAAATTCTGCCAATTTCCAATAATTGTTGGTGTAATTAGGGCGAATGGGCAATGGTCGTACCTATCGTTGAAGAATTAAATAGCACATTGGGGCAGAGCTGGGCAGGGCTTGAGTGCTTTGTGCTTGCGAAAGTGCTTGAAGCACTTTGAGGGCTTGAAAGCCCTGTGCTTCAAGCCCTTTTATAGATTTGTAATTGGGGCTTGCAAAGTCAATTACTTTAGAAAAGTGCTTGGTAATTTGTAATTGAAAAAAGTAATTCAAGCCCTTTCAATGAGCTTCAATTACTTTTAGAGGGCTTGAAGCACTTTTGGGAGCTTGAAGCCCTTTGAAAGGGCTTGAAGCCCTTTAAGAGGGCTTGAAGCACTTTTGGGAGCTTGAAGCACTTTGAAAGGGCTTGAAGCACTTTAAAAGGGCTTGAAGCACTTTAAAAGGGCTTGAAGCACTTTGAAAGGAATTTGAATTGACCATCATTCAACCTCCCACTTAAAAATTTTCGATCGTGTTTTGTTCCTTAATTTTTTTTTCTTTTATTTGAACTTGAACCGTCTTATGTCTTTTCTCTCTTAACAATGGAGGTTTTGGGTTCGAGCTTAGAATGGAATTTTAAAAAAAAATTAATGAACTTATTATTAAAATAAATAATTAATTTATATTGGTACCCTATTTAACTTTATCACTGGATTTTTTCCACTTTTCCCCATTGAACATTTTGAAAACCTTAAAACTGAAGTACCATGTAGTACCCCAAGTACCTACCCCAGAACTACATCTCAAAAAAAAACATACTACTGCTACTCTGTGAAATGTAAAGTTCGTCTCTACTATACCAATTCTGTGTGATGAGTTTACGCGGTAGCTTATGCCACTTTGAGAATTTTATTACAAATTCAAAGTGCTTTAGGCACATTTAAAGAGCTTCAAGTACATTTAAAGAGCTTGAAGCCCTTTTCAAGGCACCTCAAGCACTTTTGATGTGCTTCAAGCACTTTTCAAATCACTTTGAGGGCTTTGTGCTTGTCAAGCCCAAAGCACTTTGAGGGCTTTGTGCTTGTGAAGCACTTTTAAAAATAAAAAGGAATTTGTGCTTGAAATTGAAGCACTTTGATAGAGGGCTTAGGGCTTAGTGCTTCAAGCCCTTTTACTGAGGGCTTTGCCCAGCTCTGCATTGGGGGAAGCTGACCTCTATGAAGCTGACCTTCGTATCGTATCCTGGTTCTGTCAAATAACACAGATGTTGTTATGATGCTACTTAGATTTGGTTTTAAATCAGGGATTATCGGAGCTATTGGTACATTATGTAACAGAAGAGAGAAAACGCTTTATCTCACTTAATGTTCTTTATCGTAAACTGCCTCCAGGATTGCCTATAATGTTTTCATTAAGGCTCACATTTTTTACTAGTGATGGTACCGTAAGCAAAATTGGAACAAAACTTGGAGCTCTCACTGCCGATTCAGTTAAATTCCTGGAAGAATTTGCTGAAACTGAAGAAGAAAGCGATTTTGAAAAAGCTGAAAAATATCTTGTGTGTGTCTGGAAAAGGAACTCTTTTGACGATCTGCGGTACAGTGAATTCCCTACTGACCTTCCGCCGACATCTTTTTCCATTCAAGGTCATATTGGCTACGTTCACCAGAACCAAAACAGATTGTAAATAGTTCACAAATACCAATAGAATATGTTGGGTAAACTCTTGGTTCTGCTGAACGATTCAACTTTTCAATGATAGAACGTCACCTTCTAAATGACAGGTCACCACACAAAACACAGTATTGAAAATTATAAACACTCTGAAATTATGCTTGCAAAAATGGCGAGCGTTTGCAAAACATGTTTGGTTTTAACACAAATTCAACATAGCGTTCAGCAGAACAATCGCAAACCGTTTACCAACGTTTGTATCTGGTGAACGCGGCCATTGAAAGGGCGTTTTGTATAATGAGGAATAGTTTAAATGTTTTAAATCCTGTCTACGTAGAGAAAGATCCCTAGCTTTAAATGGGAGGAAGTTAATGGAGTTCTGAAACCTGTAAACTTTTTAAATCGTTTGCCCACCAAATCTACACGTGTATGTTCTTGCAAAACCTGTGCAACAAAAAGATGACCGTATCGAAATGCTCTACTTATAATATGTTCCACCTACTGTAAATGCAGCCCTGTTCAAGATTGTAAAGAAAACAAATAAACAAACAAAAATAGATTTGGACATAAGGTGATCTTGATATTAGTTTACACTTAATGTAATTTTACTCAGCTTTCAGTAATATAGTATTTGCGTTGATATAATAACATTGGCTACTGGCTATGTTCACCAGAACCAAAACGGATTGTGAACAGTTTACAAATATCAACAGAATATGTTGGGTAAACTCTTGATTCTGCTGAACGATTCAACTTTTCAATGATAGAACGTCACCTTCTGAATGACAGGTCACCACACAAAACACAGTGTTGAAAATTATAAACACTCTGAAATTATGCTTGCAAAAATGGCGACCGTTTGCAAAACATGTTTGGTTTTAACACAAATTCAACGTAGCGTTCAGCAGAACAATCGCAAACCGTTTACCAACGTTTGTATCTGGTGAACGCGGCCATTATCTTTCATTTCAACATTAATGTTCACATGGTATATTTTTATGTTGCAAATGGTCTGCCAGACCAAGTATCTATAAAAAAGTAAATAGGATGTGTTAATACTTGTAGAATATTGTGTGATATATTATCACTTGCCTACTTTGAAAATGGTGTAAGGGGTAATCTGAAGGGTTCAATTTTACCACTATTATATTTTTTGACCCCTAATATCTAGATTTTGACACCAGACTGAAGTCTGCAGGCTTTATAGTTCCTGAAATACAAAATAACATTGAAATCCTTTGCCATTTCGCCAAATTCGCATTGTCTACCCAAGCAAAAGTAGTTCTATAATGAACCTTAAACCTAAATTTTATGATTATAGGGTTATGCCTTGGGGACAGGACTATTAGTGTTATATCGTAAACAGAAAAATTTTACTTATTAGGTACGTAGGTACCTACCTATTTACCCAAAAATACGTCAACAGCAAAAGAATCATAGTCATAGCATTCGTCATAGTTTATATGAATCCCCAATGTTCAAGCAAATATAATAAACATAACTCAAATTGCACTATACCAAAGTTTAACTATACCTAGGTATATATTCTGAGGTATATACCTACAATTGAATAATATCTAATTGCCCTGTAAATTTAAATTGTTGAAAGCTTGTTTATTGAAATATGTGGGTCATAAAATAAAAAGTGCTTTATTAGACCATAATCGGACCTTTTATAATTATGACAATGAAAAATGATGAGGAACTAATTTATGAAATTGTTTCGGTTGGTAATTGCATAACAAATGTTGAAAACTTGGTGTTATTTTTTTGAACAATGCTTTATGAATGAGGTTCTCCAAAAAAAAAAGATCATTATATTAATGAAATTTTTATGTGGAGTACCACTGCCAAGGTAAGTACCTACCTAATTAGTCATACATTCCTAACTTAGCCGACTAATTTATTAGTCAAGCAGAGTGAAAATCTTAATGCAAATAATCCTAACACGTGATAACCCAGTTAATAAGCACATGTTTACCTAAAGAGAATCATTCCTGACTACAACCTGACGAATTATCTTGTATGTAGGCATAATAAAACTTGCGTTTGATTTAAGATAAATTTATTAAAGCAAATTTCAAATTAAAATGTATGCGTATATAATTACCTATATAGCCGGATATTATACTAGCTAAATTGCAAACGTTTGCGTACACAAGTGACAAATTATACTATATTGGGGGTCTATTAAAAGCTTCTATAAATCCTTAATGAGAACATTATGCAATTTATTATTAATGGCATCTGAAAATGGGTAACTTACCAGGGTCAGCATGCATTGTGATTCTTTAAGCGCTCCACAATATCCCAAAAAGCTGACCAAAAACATGAAAGCTCCCACTGCTATCAATACATAAGTAGCCTGCTTTATAAACTCTGGGGATGTGTAGTCCTAAAATAAAAAAAAATAAACTGAAAATTTGAGATAATTTATCAGGGTGCCTTTAAGTAATGATTCAAAATTTGTGAAAGATACTCAAAGCTTGAACAAATTGTATAGAATTAGATAAAATTGGAAATATGGGTTTTCCAAAAAGGAACAGCATTTTTGTAAAACTAGTAAAGTAAAGTAGGAGTTAGGTACAAGTATTTATCTACAAGCGTTTGGTTATGACGTTTTTACATAACCATTTTTCTAGTATTTGAGATACGTCATGAGACTCATAACATAACTAGTGGTGTTATAGACTAGGTTATGAATTCATAACACAACTAGTGGTGTTATGGACGAGGTTATGAGTCTATAACACAACTATTTTTGGTGATTTGACAAATCTCAAAGGTAAACCTGTAAAGGTAAAATGAAGGTAGACAACTATTAATGAACGGAAATAATTGGAAAAATATTCTTATTTTTCGCTTTGTAGATAAAACGTTGTACATCACACGTGCGTTTAAACATGACTACAAAACTCGTATCATTAGAACGACTCGGTCTACGACCTCGTCGTTCTAATCCTTCACACTCGTTATTGTAATCATGCTCATAAACGCACTTGTAATGTAAATAGCTATTTCTGTATGTATTACATGCAAAGATATTACTGGAAAATTGGCTAAATGTTCAATATAGCTCCATTCGTATTTTAAAAGTATCTTTCTCGTTAAATTAAAAAGAAAAATAAAATGTTAGGTGATGGCGGGGGCTCTAGTGAATAACATTATTAAGCTACGTACGCACTTTGCGAGGCAGCCTCGCGAGGCTGCCTCCTGAGGCGTGCTTCGCAAAATAAGTACCTGCCTCGACTCACTGTCTGCCGCATTCAGAGGCAGCCTCACGGTGATCTATGTTTAGTCGGTTTTTTGGTCGTGCTCAAAGAAGCCTCGTAGCGCGGCATTTCCCAAGTTTGTACGTGTTTGCTGGTTATGAGCGACATTGTTGTTGCCTCAGAGCGAGTCAATGAATGACGGCTCGCGTTGCCTCGTGTTTAGCTTCTACTACCACTTCAAAAGTAGTGCGAGGCAGCCTCGCAAAGTCCGTACGCAGCTTTATATATTATCTGATTAATGAAGTACATAACTCTAACTGTGAGCAAATGACAAATAAACCTAAAAAAGGCTACCTAACTATCCTAAGCAATTTCTTTCTTGAGGGTCACTTAGGTACCTACTTGGCTACTTATACCTTTTTTAAATAAAAAATATGTTGAAATACTAATTTCGGGTTTAATGCATTTTCCTATTATTCTTCCCGCAATATCGATGAAGAACTCCTGAAAAATCAAGCCCAAGAATCCTGTTGCGCAAAAGTTTTAAATTTAAACAGTCACATTTCGCATTTCGATATTTACTTCTGTGCTTTAATTCCAATCAAAATTAGATTGTTTGCTTGTGCTAGCAATTTTAGGTGTATAAATACTACGTTTGATTGTTAGTTACCTACTCGTTTATTTATAGCCGCCAACTGATGACAATGAAATTGAAGAAAAACAATTATTGACAATGAAGTAGGTACCTACTTTCGTTGAATAAATTATTAGAAAAACTACTTTCAGTTTGTTTCACTTTAATTTCTATTCATTGTTTCGTAAGGTATGTAAGGTTGGTTTTGTTATGGTAAATTCCTTCAATAGGACGTGCATGGAAATATTAGTTTTCTACTACACTCACAAAAAAACTAGGACACCAGTAAATTCAAAAAGAACTAGGGCACTAGTGAATTCAAACAAAGTTCATATGTTTGTCCTGAAATCCGACTGACACAGGAATGGAACACTAGAAAATGCCAAATGCGATTCTGGTGACACGTCGTCAAGAACCCAGTGTTTCTCAACGCTGGGTGGAGAACCAACGGATTTGTTTATCATAAGCACCTAGACACGATTCCATTTCAAATGATTCAACAATAACTATAGGTATTGGAAAAACTAGCTATGTTTTCTCAGCCTCAGCATTAGTAATGACAGTCTCAAAACCTAATGAAAAAGAATATTGGACAATGCACATTCCTGAAGCTATCGGGTCTTCAAAAAAAAAACCAATCGAATATTGCTTTGACTACGGAAACGTACGTCGCATTACTGTTTCTTTATTCGTCAGGATTTTTGATAGGACATTTTGACATTAAGTTTCATTGACAAAATTAAAGACAAACATTGCTAAGACATACGTTTAAAAAACCATAGCAATCTTTGATTGTTTTTTTTTTGAAGACCCGATATCATTAAAAGTACTGGTTGACAATTTTTACAAATTCTGATTCTGCATTAAGAGGTCAGGGGCAGTTAGTCCTTTAGCGATTTGAAACAAAAATACGTGAAATCAATAAGCCTGTCACATAGTAAACCAATTTTCAGACCCTTCGTTATTTTTGAGTATTCGGAAAAACGTTATAGAAACTTGTAGCATGAAGATTCATCCTTTGGAAGGAAGAATTATCCCTCATGCTCATGTATTCTTGTCACCATCTGTAAAGGTTGGTTTATTATTTTCTAAAATTCGAAACAACATTCTCAGGAAAAATTGCTGATGGGCAAAATTGAAAAAAACACGAAGAAGCAGTTTTTTTTGATGATATCGATTTTATTAATTTTTTTGTTAAATTAAAAATTTGTTTTATGTCCGATTGACCAATAAAGTGCTATTTATAGAACAGTTTTGCGTCAATAAAGTAGCCCTTTATTGTACTAGTGAAATAAAGTGCTCCTTTATTTTACTAGTAAAATGAAATGCTACTTTATTGCCTACCTGGACTACCTGACAAGGCGAAACAGGTCCAGACAACCTGCCAAGGTGAAACAGGTCCTGACAACCTGCCAAGGTGAAACAGGTATACCTACGCGAATTTTACCTTTTTCATTCAATTTTTTTAATTTTTAACAAAAACCACTCGGAATCGTACATAAAATCATGTATATAACGCTTACATAAACAGGCTTTATTGACTCATTATTTAATAGCCTCGCTCGCAAGCTCGCTCGGCCATAAAATTATTCATACAATACAGCCTTACTTTATGTACTTGTTATATAAATAGCTATTATCTCTATTCCCAGGCTCTCAAATTTTATTTACTTTCCAAAATAACCTGAATTAACGTAGCCCTGCCTGATTTTTGTGCCAATTTTTATAAAAATTCTGAGTTGAGGTTTAACTTCTGGGTAAGTTTTTTTTGGTTAAAATGTGTAAGTTCGGTGTGGGGGGTTTATAGGTGATGCTTGTATTAGATATTTTAAGTTTTAATTAAGGAAATATCCAACTTTTCAAATCATAACCTATTAATTGCAGGTGTGTCATTATATGGTACATCAGAAGGCGTTCCCTAATTCTGACCCCTGTGTGTCAGAATTAGGTGCCAAACATAATAGTATATTATGCAATGATCATGTAATGATAGCCATTAATACACGAGCATGTTGTAAGATACGAAACGAGCCGCAGGCGAGTTTCGTATATAACATGCGAGTGTATTAATGGCCATTACATGAGAGTTGCATACACTATTTTTTCTACTGCCATTGATAAAACTTATGATATTTAGATATGTCAACATTATGCTTAACTTTGAAATAGAGATTTTATAATTGAGTAATGCGTCCATACAGTTGAAGGTTTCATTTTTCGTTGTAATTCTTCAAAATATACTATCAAAACATTTTCTGAGAAAGACGATGTGTTCTTGGTGTTTCCAATCCATAAATTGTCCATATAATTTTTCGTAAATTTTCTTGGACTTGTCCGGTAGTATATTATTACCTGCATTTGTCGCCCTTTCTGTAATTTCTGGAGGTGTTAGTGAAAATTCTTCGTTATCACTCAATATTTTCATAATAATGCCTTATCCCAAACATTAGGTAACTTTTAATGACAATTCGAAGTATTTTTTTCATAAAATTATTGTTTTCCGCTAAATTACCATGGAAAAGCTATAAACAGAGTGCTGTCAACATTCGAAAAAAAAAATAATTCAAAATTTCTCTACTGGTGGCGCCATCTACTGACGATGTATAATAATGAAAAAAGTAAAAATTCTTCCTTATCACTCATTATTTCCATAATAATTATTCTTTGTCCCAAACTTTAGGTAACTTTTAAACAATTCGAAGTCTTTTTTATAGTTATCAAAATAATTGTTTTACGCAAAATTACCGTTAAAAATGTTTAATATCTTAACTGGTGGTGCCATCTATCGACATTGTATAATATTAAAAATCTGTATTATAATGAAAATCTGTATCATAATGAAGTTCATTACGATACAGATTTTAATCGTTTAATAGCGTATTATGAAATGTCAGTAGAAAAAATATATTTGTCTCTGTTTTCAGTACTAAAATGATGATGATGTTATTTCTTTTGCCCAAAATGTTAACAATTCACCATTAAAGCTTTGCACGCTAATTCTGACAGGGGTGTCATAATTAGAAAATTGGTGTGTCAGGTTTAGGAGTAATTATGCTTTGAGGAAATTTCCATTTTTTTTGTAGGTAGGTACCTACTTATTTAGTACCTCAATACTTATTCAAGCATGTCGGAAAAGAAAAAAAATCGTCGAAATGATCCCAATACGTTAAAATTGGCGTTGGAATCCATAGCAAACGGCATGCCTGTAAAAACTGCAAGTAAAACATTCAACATTCCAAAAACTATATTATAAGAGAATCGGAAAATATCCTGAAGAATGTCATGTAGACCGTTTTAACGTCAGAAGTGGAGTCATTAGTACAGTGGATAATTCACTTGGCAAGAATGGGATTTCCAGTCAATAAAGACCATTTGCTAAGTGTGGCAATGCTACTTGAGAAGAAAAATCGGCCAAACCACTTTCGTGAAAATAGACCTGGCAGACATTGGTACGAATCGTTTTTACGTCGTAACCCTAAAATTTCAAATAGAATGTGTCAGAACTTAATACTCTCGTGCGGTAGTAACTGAGGCCGCTGGTTTTTGGAAATAAGTAACTATTTTCAAGAAAACAATTTACAAGAAGTATCTTCCGATCCCCAAAAAGTGTTTAACGCTGATGAGTCCGCATTTTTTTATGTCGAAAAGGAAAAAAGGTTCTCATACTAAAGGGCAACAAAACGGTGTACAACCACACAAACAGCGATGAAAAAGAATGCATTACAGTTTTGGTAACAGGCAAGTATCTTTTCTTATTGGTGTGGGTGTGTATATGTGTGTTGATAAGTACTGTCAACGGTACTGTTTAGACCAGACAGACCTCTAGAGACATTAAATGGTTCCCTTCTTTTTCAGCCAACGCTGCCGGTGATGTAGCTCCCCCAATGGTTATGCTAGCATATGAGCGGATTCCACAAGCTATTGTTACATTAATGCTAGATGGATGGGGACTTGTCAAGTCAGAATCAGGATGGATGACTGGCGAAAGTTTCTTTGAGTATATGTCCAACGTTTTTTATCCGTGGATTGTCAAAAATGCCATTCCCCTGCCAATAATTTTTTACGTCGACGGTCATAAATCGCATTTGACACAGCCATTAAGCGAGTTTTGTTCTCAAAAAAATATTGTCTTGATTAGCCTCTAACTTTTACCAGATTCCACCCATATGCTCCAACCGATGGACGTCGGGGTTTTTCGGCCCTTGAAAAATAGTTGGAAAAAGGCAACGGACCAATTCAAAATTGATAATAATATGAAAAAACTAAGAAAAGAAAATTTTGCTCCCCTCTTGGATCAAGTTATTAAAGAAACTAAACGAAAAAATGCTTTTAAGGCATGTGGCCTCTGTCCTTTTGATCCAGATTCGATACATTTTGACAAACTGGTAACTTCTACTCCAACTAGTACTCTTTTAGGCCAACATACAGACAACATAAATGAAAATCGTTTAGAAGAGAACATAAATAAAAATCGTTCAGAAAAGAGATGTGAGTTTAATAATGAGCAAATACAATTAATTGAAGAATTAATCGGTAAAGAGAAAGTGGTTAAATTTAGAACTTGTCAGGAAACTAACAATAGTTGGAATGGAGCAACTGAAGACCCATCATTGTTTGAATTTTGGCGCCTTTGGAATAAACATTTAAATAACCGGGATAATGGAAATGATAATAAGGCTATTGAGAAAGTGGAAGAATGGGAAGAGTACGCTGTTTTAGATGATGGAACTTTAGTGGCTTAATTACAGGAGAACAATATGAAAAGGAATATGAAGAATTGATGCAAGATACACTTGTGGACAATGTCGGTTGTGAGGATGTTGTTATTATAGAAAATATAGAAGAAAACGCAAATATTGATGATTTGGAAATTGAAATTTTGAACCAAAATAAACTATTATGTACCAATGATGAAAGTGGAACAACTGCACTGGAAAAAATGGATATCGATTCCCCTACAAAGACGGTCGACATTGCAATCCCAGAAATAAATATAATATCTGATATTTTATTAGAACCAAATGAATTTGAGAAAAACAACACAACAGAGCAACCAAAGGGAACAAGCAAACATCAAGAAAAGGAAGCTGACGATCAAACAAGACTAATTGACTTTAGTGAATTGGAACCTCAAGCTTCTAGCCATGGAAGTCCTATATCAGAATCTGCGACAACCTCGGCGGCAAAACCAACTTCTATTGAGAGTGAGACTACAAAAAATAATGTTCCTTTTGATGTACCATCTCCATTTAAAACTATACTATTTTGGCCAAGCGTTGAAAAGTCGGAAAAAAAAGGGCCGTAAGGAAAATTTACCGAGTGTGGCAAGTTCAGAACAGTGGAAGAACTATTAAAGAAAAAAAGAAGAAAAAAAAAAAAAGAAACGAGGAGATGGAAAAGGAAAATCGTAAGAGATTAAGGAAAGAAAAGTGAGAAGACAAAGTAAAAAAGCAAAAAGTTGTGAAATTGATGATTGGAAAAAATGTAAAGCGAAGGGTATTTGATTCTGATTCTGAAAATTGAAGACAGTCATTTGAATCCCCTGCTCCCAACTGTGCACAACAATACTTGATTGACGATTATGTTGTTGTTAAATATGATGATATTAAATATCCAGGTGTTATTAAGGACCTACGCGAAAACGAAGCATTTGTCAGTGTTATGGCTCGCGGTGGCTATAACTGGAAGTGGCCAAAAAAAGAAGACTGTATCTGGTATGTGGTTACTGAAATACTCTAGAAAATAAATCCTCCAACTTTAAACAATAACAGGGGAACTTTTAGCCTTCCAGAACTGAAAAAATATTCAAGTTTCACAGTTTAAAAATAATGAAAATCGTCTTTAGTATTATCTGTAAATTTATTAATTTGTTTTTTATAATTTCTTACTTTTGTTTTATAATACTCACCTCATTATTCATTCGTGTATTTAATAACATTTGGTTGTCAGAATTAGGTACAAGGTACAGATGTGTCACATTCAGGAACGATGTCATAATTAGAGTCCACTAGGTGTCATAATTTGGGTAGGGTTCTATGTTTGGTGTCTGAATTAGATACATTTACAAAGGACTACAAATAAGATTTTTTTTGTAAAAATTTGAAAATAAATGCAAGTTTAACTAAAAACTATCCTTATACATACATGTACTATTTTCCAGCTTGGAGTATTCGATACATTCAAAAAGTATCAATTTACTTATTTTGAGTCCATACTAAATTCGCAGGTTCCTTAACCTATCAGAATTCGGTACATTTAAAGACTGTTTTTTTTTTTAAAGATAATTCCCCAAGTCAAAAATGTAGTAACTATGTTGGCAACACAAGCCTTTTCTACATAAAAAATTTGAAAGCATTGACAATTTTACATTGTATTGCCAACCTAATGTCAGTTTGACTTTTATCTTTAAAAAAAAAACAGATTTTACCTTATCAATACTTCATTTTCTTTAGTCATTTGTGGTCCACCTTCGGACATGTGCCTATGCTAATTTACGGCTAACATACGCAAGTTGTAAAGAGTTAAGTTGTTTGAGTTAAATAGTGAAGTAATTAGTGTCAGAGTGTATAATAACGTGGAATAAATTATTGTTGTGTTAATTGGACTTTGATTTTTGGAATAAACGGACTCAAGATTTCTGTTACACTCCCCAGAGCCGTGACATTGGTGTCAGAAGTGAAATCCGATTGCAGAATAAGTTCGGACACTAGTGTGGAGACTAAGTGAGCACTGGGACAGTAAGTCAGTGTAAGCAGTGACAATCACCAAAAGAGACTTAACCGATTGTGTGAATTACCCCGGAAGTAGTGACTGAATATACAATTTTGACATGTTTGCTATATCAATCGACATTGAGAAAAGACATTTCAAGAAAATTCTAGAATATTCTATTCGAGAATAAAGCAAGATATCCAATTTGTGCGACATATATGCTACCAGTAAAGGCCCTTAGCTAAGATCTCGGGGGCCCATGAAACAGTACAACGTCGGTCTCCCATTTGAAAGAATAGCAATAGATACTGCCGGACCGTTCCCTGAGTCAGAGCGTTGTAACAAATACATCTTGGTTATCATGATAACCAAGTGAAGTAATCCATGGATTACTTCAGTAATTGGCCAGAAGTTTTCGCTAATCCCAATCAAGAAGCCATCACTATTACCCAGGTGCTAGTGGACGAAGTTTTTAGTCGTCATGGTGTGCCACTAGAGTTGCATTCAGATCAGGATCGAAACTTCGAATCTGCCTTCTTTAAGAAGATTTGTGAGATCATGGAAATTGGGAATTCTTAAGAAAAGGACAACACCTTTACATTCATAGTCTGATGGCATGGTAGAACGATTTAATAGGAATATAGAGGAACACCTGACAAAACTGGTCGCAAAGAACTAATGAGATTGGGACAAACATTTGCCTCTATTTTTAATGGCCTACAGAGCAGCTGTTCACAAGTCAACAGGCGAAAGTTCAGCTAGAATCGTTTTTGGAAGGGAACTCAGCATACCTTGCGATCTGATGTTTGGAAAACCTGAAGAAGAACCTAAAGAAATTCGAGATTATGCCGACGAAGTAAGGGCACGACTTCTGGTGATACGTAATTCACCTCGAGAGCATATTTAGCAGGCCAGTGACCGAATGAAGACCAGAAACAACTTGAAAGTCAATTCAGCCGGAAAGGTGAATTAGTGTGGCTGTATAATCCAGAAAGAAAGGAGTGTCGTCGAAATTGTCTTCAACATGGTAAGGACCCTAAAGAATAATCGAGAGAATTAATTATTTGGTTTATCGAGTTCAGCGCAACACCAGGAGTAAGATGAAAGTTGTACATTTGGACAGACTGACGAAATATCATTTGCGCGCAGTTCATCGGGACGATCAACCTTAAGAGGACGGAGTGTCGCGAAAATCTGGCGGAAGCACCAGGGTTTACAGAATTGGATAGCTAATTCTAGATTCCATAGTGCTATTCGGGAAAAAGGGCTATCGCGTTTATTCTGGATTTTACAAGAATGGATTACCGATATATAAAGACCGGTATTAGTTAGTAGTTTTTAAGCTTTAAGATTGGCTGTGATATGTTTAGATAGTGAATATTGTGAAGTTGTAAAGATTTAAAGTTGTTTGAGTTAAATAGTGAAGTAGGCATAGTGTCAGAGTAGTAACGTGGAATAAATTATTGTTGTGGTAATTGGATTTTGATTTTTGGAATAAACGGACCTAAGATTTCTGTCACGCACCCCAGAGCCGTGACAATAGTATTCCATCTTTGGATCTTTCTGTCTTGCTATATGTCCTGTTGTGATGTATTTCCTAGCATCCAAGATTTTAGTTCCGTTTCTTATCTATTTATTGGTTTTTCGATCCACTAATCTTATTCCTAGCGTTGCGCTTTTTATATGGCTTTTCGTTTTCACAATTTTGTATAGGTACGTTTTCCTCGATAGGTTTCTGGCAGCCATATGTAACAATTAGGAGAAAACTATGCTTTTCAAGTATCTGTTAGTACTATTTTCTGCAGTTGATGTTTCAAAAAATGCATCCGTATATTAACGTGTGGCTTAACTGAGAGTAAATGAATTAAATTTTTATCTAGCAAGTTAACTGAACCCAACAGTATGCAACTTTTTTTTTCAATTTTGATATATTCCATAAATACTATAGGAATAAAAGAATATTTAGATATACCTTCAAGTATAACAAAATATAGAAGCTTATAATATAATAGATGGTAAATGTTAGTAATTTGTTTTTTTCCTGTAAGGATGATTTAAATGCACATGATGCAACAAAATTACCACCTATCTGCTCGCCATATAAAATCAAAAACACTATTATTATGGCTATATAAAACCGGAAAGTGAAATAGCATTGACTAGCTGCGGTTGTGTTTTTGCTTTGGTAGGTAGGTACATTTTTTTATTGTAAAGATAGTTAACTTTGTTACTTTCACTTTTCATGCAAAATTTAATATGTAATACACGCGGAAGCATAACTTGCCAAACCAATTAATTTTAAAGATCAATTTTATATATTTATAATAGGCTTTTCTTTTAAAGAGATAGGTACACTATTGAAATAATTTATTTTTAAATACACTCTCCACAACCTGCTTTATATGTAGCGGTTACTACTGGATTGTTAAATAGGGTCTATAATATGGCAAGGCAAGGCAACTATTCTTGAAAACGATATTTTCGAAATAGCAAGGAAGGTATGCCTGGTTAATCATAGCATTTCAGTACATAATATATTTTATCTTATCATAAAATCTGTATACACTGTAAACAGGAACAGCTATTTGTTTTATAATCGCGAATAATAGTTATGTATGTACTTACCGAGGACTTTAAGTACCTACAGTTTTGTTGAAAGTAGTTGGAAAATATCTATGGAAAAACAAGTTTTAAACAAAGCTACAACAAACTGCTAATTTACGGTCAGATTTACGCAATACGCATGATTTTGCTTTAAAAGATAATGGAGAAACCAGAATTCTCAATCAATGGGTACTCACGCCAACTGCAGACCGGTTTCAAGTTTGTTAGCTCTCGTCAGTGCAACATAAGCAGTACATCCTTTATCTTTTTTATTTTGGCACATACCTACTCTATTTTATATATTTTCCAATTTCCTTGCTTAAATACTTGATATGTGCTTGGTGCTATTTATTGGATTGAGATCCCCCTGTCTTCTCCCGAAACTTCATTGGGAATGTTATTTTTTAGGATCCTCCTTGGCGTGTGTTTCTACCTTTTTCACTCTTGATTGGGCCCATATAACCCATATATAACTTTTTGACACTTTCGTCTTCCAATAAGGATTCAATAATATTCGACTTGCATAATATGTAATTTCAGGTGGTTTTTGTATGTTGATCTTATTTGGCAGAGTAGGTATCAGCTTGTAATGTAGCGTTCTCACGTCCAGTATCATTAATTTCTGGAGTAATACTTCTACTTCTATTAGTATCTTGTCGTGTATATTCATAAATCATAATGTGTTTGGGAGCAGAACAATTTCAGCAGTTCCAAATTTAAAATTATGTACTTATAGGTAGGTACCTACCTATTTAGTTTTTTTTTGGAGAAGTTAAATTTTGCAGCGTCTCACCCATATATGATTTATAACAATATTTGAAATTTTATTTTTCATTACAGGTCATTCTAAACAGTCGTTTTCTGGGTGACTAGGTCAACGTAAAATTGATGAAAAGTGATTATTTATTTAGGTTTGACACACTAACAACCTAACAATACCTACCACTTTTAGGGTTCGAAAATGTGTATGTATTATAGTAAATAGTTTCG